TACAATACGGCCGTTCGAATAGGACATATTTGACAGTTGACAAAATCATGGGCAATGACATAAGGTCTATTTTTCTTGATCGACATGTCTTTTAGTATGAGTTTGACAGCTGTGAATTCTAGCCTATTCGGACAGCCGTACTTTATATGACAAACTATGGCGTGAGTAGACGAAATATTACTTTACATCACGTGTACGTGTCATTTCATTTGACGATAGGTAATATTACCTACATCACGAGTCATTTGACGATAGTTAATTAAATAAAATTGACTTTTGCGAGCCTACTCCATCAGTCAAACAGCTGCTATCAGCAGCACATATTATGAACCTAACCATTTTATTAGGGGACCAACTTGGGACCATCATATTCTATTTTATACTGGGAGTAACGGAAAAGGTATAACAAGCCGAAAGGAGGTCAAGGTACTCATGAAACTGAACAACTTTCCTCATGGAACATGGGTCGAAATGTGAAAAAAGAAATTGGACCTTCCATAGTAAATCAATTGGCTGATCGGCGATTTTGTATAGGAGGTCAAATATATTTTTTTTTACATTTTGACACATGTTTCATGGGGAAGTTGTTCAGTTCCATGAGTACCTTGAACTCCTTTCGGCTTGTTATACCTTTTCCGTTACTCCCGGTATAGCTGACATTTCACTTAGGCAAGTAAGGTAGGTCCGTCAAGAAAAAAACCGTCAGTATCAGTAGTACATTTTAACCGACCCATTAAGAGACCAACATTCTGAACAAGAACAATAACCGTATTCGTTGAGTAGCGGAACTTGAAAATTACTCCCGAACTGTATAAGTTCATTTTCCCCAAAACCTAGTAAAAATGTTGAGAGCTCATAATGTCATACATAATCTTAATAATATCATACCTACATAACAAAACCTAAGTATGTTCCCTGACCTAAACAGAAAGTCCAAATGTTGTGTCCATTTTAATGGCTATCTTTAAGTAGGCAAGATACCTACTTAGTAAGACGAGCATTGATAGCATTCGGATAATTTACGAAGAACATTTTCAATTTCATTTGGCGCAAATTCCATAACGGAAACTCTGAAGCAAGAATTTAAATTACCTTTTGATGGGAATCCGAATCAATCCACTGTTTGGAGCACCCAAAAAAAACTTCACCACGTCTGTTTCAATAAGATTTCAATACACTGCACTGGCAAAGTTTTATGAAAGTTGTCAAATGTGTGTGTGATATTTTCGCGTGTTTTTCGGCGCGGCGTTTGCTAGGGCGGGCGGCGCGTCCGCCCAACGCAAGCAGTCACTACCAACTGAGCCGGTACCTATGTCTCAGTGAAACTACATTCCAATGAACTTTTATTTCGTTCCGTAAGTATAAAATTTATACTTTATAGCCTCACATGCGCTTTGCCAAAAAGAAAGAACAATAATTTTACAAAATACTCTTGAGTTCTGAGTCGTGCTGGCTAGGAAACTAAATAACATTAACATTATCTAGAAATACTCAGTTTGCTATCCAAAACAAAGCTAGTGGCGAGTAATTCTCAGAGTAAACTATAGTTTAGTAAAGTTTAGTATAAATACTTGGAAATAATTTAGCATCATTTTTGCGCCACCAGTGCAAGCCGTGCCGTATCGTTCCCAGTTTGGTTAGGAAATTGCAGGCTGAACCACTTGATTGTCCGAAAGCAAGATGGTTCCGTTCTTTGGAGGGCCCAACCGGGACCGATGGCCTAACGTTAGGCCGTCTGTCCCGGTTTGCAGTCTTTTTGCAGTCTATGCCTACTTAGACAGCGGTCGTTACCAAACCATGTCAGAGGCCTGCTACTTGTAGTAGGCGGTTGAAAAACTCTGACACCAGGGTTCATCGGGTCGTTTCGTTAGACGACTCGGTGTCCCGGTGTCCCACTCGAAAAGATGAAGAATGTTTTCAAAAATAGTACCTATAGAAACGTGTTCAAGCGTCACGATGCCGCGCGTCTCACGTTTCCGACTATTATTTGTTTGACAGGATGCCATCTTATGTCTCACGTCACGTCGCTCACGTCTGACGTCTTTTCTGTGGAGCTTGCGCCTTGCGTCCAAGCCGTGCGAATGTGCGATGCACAGACATAATAGTGCGATGCGAGCAATGTATTCAAAAAGAGTATTTTTAAGCAAGAAGGTGATAATGAAAAGCAGAGACTTTCCCGTTTGTTGTCATCGCTGTCATTATTTCAAGTTTGTTTGACACTTGTTTGACGTGAGTCTGTTTACTTTTTCTCTATGAGTTTTGTTTTCTGGTGCTATTTCTAAGTGATTGATAATTTTATTATTTATTTTTGATTTTGTACTTCTTTATTTTCTTCGGATTGATTTATGATTGAAACTGGTATGATGGCAGAATCTTTGCTTAGTTTCGCTCCATTTTCGAATCCGCTTCAGTAGTGCCTGGCCCATTCTATAGTCACAACACAACTTGTGCCGCACAAGGAATTATACACATAAACTCACTAAAAAACTCACACCTGCAGGTTAGTTTTCAAATGTTTTTCAGTCAGAAAATAAATGAGACCAATAGGTACCTACTTATTCGACAGGATGAATCTTGCGAAAACTTGCACCTCAAAAAACTGTTACATAAGATAGGTAGTTTACAAATGCTTTTCAGCTAGTGTACCTATTCTACGAATCTAGGGACGAATCTTACGAAAACTTACACCTCTGTTGAAGTATGTGATGATGATGATGATGATACAAAGATACTGAACCGGAACTTGCGACTCTATAGTTATTTAAAATCCGATTCACCACAAATTGCACCACAATGTCCAAAACTTATGTTACAAAATGTAAATACAAGTATCATCTTTTTCTCATCTTTTCTTTGCGAGTATTAGGAACACCAGCGGGTTAAGACGACTTTTACTGAAATGGACCTTTATTCAACAAACTTAATCAAATCTCAAAACCATGCTAGACAAACACTAAACAATGGTAGAACTTATATAAGTAGAATAAATAAATAATAAAATGAACAAAGGTCCATTTCATCTGAATTTCATGATTCAGACTTTAACATAAAGGTATTGTTTGTGTCATTCATATAAAATGAGATAAATTCATTATTAGAGAAAATAGTGGTTTATGCAACTGCCTATTAAGAGCGCATTCAATTTTTTCTAGCAAATTTGCAAATATTGGCTTTAAAAACATGCGAGTTTCTCGAAAATCGTTATGTAAAAATAATATGTTACTTGAACATTTAATCAAGCATATCTTCATCTAAAAAATGTACAATGTAAATATGAACATTTTAGTTTTAAACCTGTTACAAACAGCGATATCTAAAGCGACAAAACCAAAATTCAGGAAAAGACCTCAAATCAAGCGTGAGTTTTAGAGTTTTGGTTCACTGTAAATAAATATCAATTATACAAAAAAATAGAGTATATATTTGAGAACAAAGTCTACAGTGAACATTTTACAATTTTATTCAGAAATATAGAATAATACCACGTTTTTATATACGATTTTTTGCAAAATAATGCGCCATTATAACGGCTTCTGTATGAAAAAATAACAGTAGTAAAGATTTAAAAAAAATATATGTTATTTAAGAAGATGTACTTAATCTAATTGCAGAAAAATATATTTATTTTTATTCATAATATCACTGTAAAAAATATTCAAACATCCCCATGTTTTTCGCAAAATGACGCTCCGAGAGGTCTGGCAGGGAAAATTGTATGGGCTTCGTGAAAAGCTCTATAGCGGCCTTAAGGTGGTTCGTTACGTCATACAAACGAAAAACTGCACTTCAGTCGGGTCACACATGAGCTGTAGAGTTTCTTTTTAAAGAAACTTTATTCTGAATGATGAAGGCACACGTAAATTTGTCGCAAAACTACTTATAGTTAAAAGATAATCAGTATTTTCTGCACAATAAAATTAAACGTATTTATTGCAGCAGTAGCTTCATCTATTTTCGTAAAGTGGCGACTCGCTTTTTACGGGGAAATCTGATTATTTAAAAATTCTTTTTAGTGTTTTGCGACAATCTTATATACCCACGGGACTCCCCATCAAGTTTTTTAAACCGACTCTTGTCTCCTTTACATACATAACTCCATTGAACTTTTGTATGGAAAACGGAACGCCTTAATGAGAGGCTTTAGGATGTGAGTGTCTGTTTATCACACGAGGCGCAGCCGAGTGTGATAATAGTTTGACACGAGCATTCTAAAGCCTAATTATATGCAGTTGCATACACAATTTTATCTACACTCTACAAGAAAAACTATGAAAAATAATTCAAACCTCCGCACTGCACTATGGCGATTGCAAGCCTATCTACTGAACCACCAACTGAACGACTTTTGTACATAAGTAACTTTTTAACTAAACGTTAAAATGGAGGCTCATAAAAACTGAACAACTTTTAAAATTAAAAAGCATTTATCGGTGAATTTTAATTCGAAAAATGATTTGAAACAAAGATTTAATAATAAATAAGTCCTCATAATTTCAAGTGTCGTCCCGCCTGGGTAACACTTGTTTTTTTTTCATTTGACTTACTGTTGGCCAGTATCAAATTGGGACAGATTACAATTTGGTACGCGGGTCAATTTGTTTAATTTTTTTTTCAAATACTAGAAATCGAGTTACTTTATGTAGCTGCCAGTAGTATGAAAGTTTTTTTTAAAGGCTATATGCAGTTCATTACGTTCGTACTTTCGATTCTGTAAAACGAATATTACGAAATGATTGTAGATAAAATTATTTATCGTTATACTATCCTCAAAAATATTTTACTTGTTCCTTATGACCAGCCGGTTCTGGGTTTTTGCTATCGGTCACTAGTGAAACAGCCTATATTTTCCGTACACCAATAATTTATGATATGACCGTGAAGAGTGGTAAAATAGAGAAGAGGCCTATACCCTGCAGTGGGTGGATGTGATGTTAATGAATGATAATTATTGATGATGATGATGACACCAATAATGTATGGCACTTTTCAAACATTTGCTCTACCGCAGGCAGGATTTGAACCTGCGACTTTCGCCATTAGTGCTGGTGACGCCTCTTCCGTCGAGGCTACCGCGGCTTCATCTTTGCCTGCGAAATTATGCAAGTGTATCTTCGCTAATAACTGTAATATATTTTTTATTTCAGAAATCCTTTGCCACGTCGAATGATAGCTAGTACATAACGGACTATGTTACAAAGCTAAATATTGAATTGGCATGTGTTGTGGTATATTTAGCTGTTTTGCTTGGGCATTTGACTTTATACAGAGGTAAATTTTATATATGTCTTATGAAATGCCGTGAGATGCCGAATTAGTATAGCATCACCCTAGTTCCATCCGTGGATATCGTAAAACCCTACAAAGGATTATTAGGTAAACATCTTGCACTGTGTGATACCAGCTTAAATATCACTACCTCATTTCTTTCTCGTGGGTGTCGTAAGAGGCAATGAATGTGATGCCAGCTTAAATAACACTACTCCATTTCTTATCGAAGGTGTCGGAAGAGTTGACTAAAGAACTTGAGGGGTGCGTATCTTAATTTCGGGCGGTAATCTGCTAACCTGTCACTAGAGTAAGACAGTGATACTCGGTTTTTCGCAAACGCAGCGATAGAAGGCGCCCCGCGCGCTGGCTCCCTAATTTGTGGCGATAGCGACCGTATTCTTATATAGTATGACCGTCAAAGCCCTGCCTACCCCCAGTAGGGATAAAGGCGTGATATATGTTTCTGTTTCCAGACTTATAACCTTCGTGCTCACCTGCATAATGTTCTGCTTCATCTGCATCGGCGTGGTAGCAGCGGTGGCTGCAGGGGTCGCTTACGGGTACAACTACTCTATGGCAGAGTTCCTTACTTTTGCACGTAAGTGTCACAACCAGCTGGTGGACCGAGCTTGCGCGGTTTGATGTCTGCATCGGCGTGATAGCTGCGGTGGCTGCCGGGGTCGCTTACGGATACAACTACTCTATGGCAGAGTTCCTTACTTTTGCACGTACGTGTTGTTTACGCTACAAAAAGGTTTTGTGCATGCAAAAAGGTTTTTTCCTTCTTGTCCCTACGATTTCAGCCCCGGGGCTAAACCTAGCTGTTTCGTGGAGAGCAGAAGGCTCACCCGGAAGTGTATGTGTGGTTGTTCAAATCTAAGTTCAAACAACCAGCCTAATCACACCCTTTGGGAAGCGACTGGGCTTACCAGTTGTTCTGGGAAGAACAGATCGGGGTAAGTCTACCGGTTTCCGGTAGTTACCAAAGAAGAGCACAAATGAGGGACCTTCGCGACCCCGCCGGCGGGGCCTCGGTTGCTTGAAGAGCTAGTGGAGTGTGATCTACTTGCAATGGCTGCAGCTGCTGCTACTGTAGCTACAAACAGGCGAAGAATATTAACACTAGCCATAAGTGTGAAACAGGATGTACATTTAATAAAGGACACAGCACACTGCCTTCTGCGTCGTTGGACGACTCGGTGTCCCGCTTGAAAAGAAGAAGAAGACTGCCTGCGTATGCAGCTCGTATTATGCGTGCACGTCATTACGCGCTTCCCTGTTGTAATGTTTGGGACTGTATGATGTACGGCACACTGCTTGCCTGCACTACGCAACGCATACGCAGGCAGTGTGCTCTTATCATAATATTCTTGAATCCCTCATGGTTACACCAGCCCTCGTTTACAAAACAGAAAATTGCGCCAAGGCCAGTTACATAATGCGATTTCAATGATACCTATTCATATTCAATGCGCTTTCAGTCCTAACCTAATTTTATTTGTTCATGTCTGTTGTGTTATGCTTATTATTGAACCTAAAAACTGCCAATACCTAGATATACCTTAATAGATTTTTGTGTTGGTAATTCATAATTGTATTACATTACAGGTGACAACACAACGATATACCATCGCGGTGGAATGAGGGATGAAATTTTCAACGAGCCAGACAAGGACACAATATTCGTAAGAGCTAGAGATGATGACAGTAAGTTAACTCCATTGATAAACTAACCATACTTAGGATTTTATCAGAAAACTTTCCAAATTATCTACCACAGGTAGAATTCTAACCTGCGGCTTTTGCCATTAGTGCTGACGACGCCTCTTTCATTTGGGCTATGGCGGACTAATAGTTGGCCAATAGCACGTGGGATATGTATAGGTATGGCACTATAGCAAGTTTTTTGATGTGTTTTTGCGTTTGGTAGGTATTAATCTTAACTCCATAACCGACATTTTATGCTCTATCTAATCTACCCCGCAAGGGATAATGTGTTGCGTGTGTGTGTTTTATATTTTCAGCTTCACAAAAAGGATCAGGAGACACTGGAAATACGGGCCCAAGTCCATTGAGGAGCAGGAACAGGAATTTTAAAACCACCTGGATTCAGGTCATGGACCAGACAAGGGATAAAGTCTTGCCCAAAGTCACCAGGACTCAAATGCCAGAAGTTAAAGAGCCTACAACACCAAGCTGGGTATGCATCACATAATCTCATCGTGAAATAGATTGTACTGAGGTATTTTTTTCACAGCCATTTACGCTCTGCCTACCCCTCAAGGGACATAGGCGTGATATATGCATGAATGAAAAAGGATTAATGTGAAGACCTTCAAATAACCTCTTGCTACTAATAGTTGACGTACCCTTAGTGTAAATTCAATGATTTATTTCGATTTCAGCCGCAAGATGAAAATAGTTTGTCTACATCCCCAGAACTAGAGACTGAGTTCTCAGACTTGTCTCCGAGGCCTACTTTACCCGATTTAGAGACTGATGCCTTTGGGTTGAATCAGTTCGAAGACGACTTGCCACCTGGCAGCGTTCGGGTGGACCTGATGCCCACTTTATCAGATGTACCACCTAGTGGTTTCAAGAATCAATGGCCAACAAAGCAGACCTTACCGCCTACTGTCCTTAAGCAGAATCAAAAACCTACCACGCAGAATTTTCTGCTTAACAGCTTCCATCTAAATAAAAGACCCACAATGCAAACCTTATCGCCTAGTGCCAACAAGTTAAATCAGAGGCCCACCTTGGCAGGACTTTTTCCTGGTGTCTTTCACTTGAACCCTACGTCTACTACTCCATATAAATCATATAGCGCTTTCCAATTGACTGGTAGGCCCATACTGCCAAATTCGCCAGCTGGTGATACGAGGCCCAGTTTGCCGGAGTCACACGCTGGTGCCACGAAATATGATGATACGAGGCCCACCTTGCCGCAGTGGCAACCTGGCCTTGCCTTGAATCCCTCAAAGTCACCTGCCTGGCCAAGGTGGCCAAGCACTATTGATGTGAAACAAGAAAGGTAAGTGTTCCTTCGTATAAATTTGAGTGAAGGGCTATTCGGGCAGAAAAAATAATCAGAACTTACAATTGGCCAGACTTTGAACTAAATAGCCCATATCGTTCATTTTCTTTACAAAATCACTTAGGCTTTATGTTGCCACCTCATTACTTAATCAAGTGACTATATTATGGCATAGTGGAAACTAATTATTGAATTTTTCAGGCTACGAAACGAAGGTCCTATAAGATATTTGGCATCTACTAAGGCACGCTTGGAAGAAACACCTTTTATGCATTACAGTGATGATAGCGATGACGATAATGAAATAATATACAAAGCAGTTTGAAAACCATAGCTTAATTATAATAAAATGGTAAGTTTTAATATAATTTGTCAGATCAATAAAATCGAATCGTGCGACTAAAGTGTATGACTTAACTAATCCTAGTTCTAGTTCTTAATACAGGGAGTAACAGGAAGGGTATAACAAGCCGAAAGGAGGTCAAGGTGCTCATGACACTGAACAACTCTCCCCATGGAACATGGGCCGAAATATGAAAAAAAAAGATTGGACCTCCCATACAAAATCGCCGATCAGCTAATTGATTTACTATGGGAGGTTCAATTTTTTTTTCATATTTCGACCCATGTTCCATAGGAAAGTAGTTCAGTTTCATGAGTACCTTGACCTCCTTTCGGCTTATATACCCTTTCCGTTACTCCCGGTATAATCCTTCATGGCAAAGATTTATAGTAAGATTTTAATATTGCTGTAGACGTTCTGCGACAGGAAATGAAACTCCAGGTTTCAGTAACACTTGTATTGAAATAACTTTTTCACTTTCACAAAATCACTACAAACTTATTCGTAACAAATTTACGTGCGCACTCAACGGCTGACGAAAACGAACTGTCTCCCTCCACCCGGACGTCCGACTCACCAGCGCCCGGCGGAGAAGGGGCGGTGGGGAGCCGCACGCCGACCGGAAGAATGTCCGACTCACCAGCGCCCGGCGGAGAAGGGGCGGTGGGGAGTCGTACGCCGACCGGAAGGATTCGGGTCGTATTTGATTGGTCGAACTATTGGAATGTTTAATCAAATCAGTGTATTTATGTTAATTTAATTCCGATAATAAGTTATGATATTTAAAATAAATAATATTCACAATAAATCTGCAACAGTTCGGCCATCCAAACGATATACACGTCCTCGTGTATTTGTAATCATACCTATGTACAACTATACATTTACTGCATCAAATTTCAAATTCATACAATTATGATTATTATTATTATTTTAAACAATTGGTATACTTAAGAAATAACTTAGCCATTAACTACTTTCTATGTATTATATATCATATATCTTTTAATTTTATTATTAAATATAATCAGCGTAGTTGTGAATCGCTTCTATTCACATTCTACGGTTTAGTATAAAGCAATAAATCAAAAATTTGGTTATATAAAACTCATTAAAGAACTTTCTACAATAATTTATAACAACATTATAATATGTAAGTGTGGTTGTGAATCGCTTCTATTCACATCCCACAAAGTTTTTTCTTTATTTGGTCATAGATCGCTTCTATCTATGTCCCAAGATGCTCCCAATTATGTCTGACTTATTGGTCGTAGATCGCTTCTATCTACGTCCCAAATAATAACCAATCTGTTTTGTTTCTTATTAATCAGTTTAACCAACAGTAAATGTAACCAGCATTACCAACACAAACAATCAACAATCGCAAACAAAAAAAACAACCCTAGTTATTTCCTCCCTGGCTCTCTT